CCAGCAGGGTAGGCACAAAGTATATGCTCTGCTGTTGTATCATTTTCCAAATAGAGGCAACACACACTGTCTTCCGACAGTCCGAGTCACTGCATATGATGATTAAAATGACAGTGACCTGTAAGAAGGCCTGTTAGATATTGTAGTTCATCCCTAATGTAGTCCAACAACTGTTTGGTATCAAACTTCGAAGAGTGAATAAACGTGAGCCAATCCTGGAAGATTCTGCCCCAGAAGTCTATAGATCTTCTTGCCATCCAGGTGTTCAATGTTTGTTTGGCAAAGCCTGAAGCGACGCCAATGATATATTCTGGTCCGATGAAGCTGCTCGCATAACCCTCCTTTGCAAGAGAGTCAGCAGCCTCATTGCCTTCCAGGCCAGTATGGCCAGGATTCCAGATCAGAGACAATCTGTTGAGTATTCCTCGAGGAGACTCGATTTTGGCAATTGCTACCAATTTAGACGATAGGAGCCAAGAGCTTCCAACGCCGCTTGACTGTCCGAGAATATTTTCATTGATTTTTGTATTAGGTTGGATTCTTCCAATCTCTCTGCACACAATTCAATACCGTAAATTTCCATTTGAAATACAGTCGCATACGTTCCTAGGCAGGTAAATATATCTGTCCTGGGTCTGCGACTAAAACACCTGCACCAGAACCGGAAGGTGTTTTTGATCCATATGTGAACCAACAATTATCTGTTCTTAATATTTCCTTCTCCCGGAGGATCCAGTTCTCTTTACTCGGGAACAGTACTTTACAAGGCAGTTCGTAGTTGACAGTTAGAGGCATAAAGTCAGAGGTCATTTCCAGAATGCTGTGACTTCCAGTGTCAACCAATAGTCTGTTGCATTCTACATTAAATTGATTTGTGCAATTGGCCATGTGCACAAGTTTGTATGCAGTCCATCTGGCCTCTCTCCTGAAAAATGTGAAGAGGTGTAGATCCAAAAGGATTTCCATGGCCGCTGACGATGTGGTACTGATGGCACCACAGATAGCCAGACAAGCCTGTCTCTGTAAGCCTAAGAGCTTCGCGTGGGCCTCCGGCCACCAGGCAATTGCACCATAAGTGATCATTGGTCTGACAATCATCACATAAATCAAATGTATTTGTTTGGAATTTGAACCCCAAGTTTTACCACAGATCCGTCGACATGTCCATAGTGATAGTCTGGCTATGAGGTAGTTTGATATTCCAAAACAGTGCTTCCACTGTTTAAGTAGATAAAAAAGAATATGTAAGTATTGAAGTGAAACAGAAACACTCTAGAGCAGAGGTGTCCAAACATTTTTCATCGTAGACCACCTACAAAATTTTGCTGGTTGTGGTGGATACCCTGCAGCTTCATTCTTACCATACTCTTGAAACTTAACTATTCAGAAACAAAAAAAATATTATGAATTCCGTAGAATCAAAAAGCGTTATTCTGCAGCATATCCAAATGCTGTCCACATGAAACATCATTCAAATATTATCCGGAGAGGAACACCCCAATAATATGTTGTTAAGCTCACAAATGTTGCAATTGGTTGATCAGAGTTCATTCTGTATATTTTTCAGATGAGTTATTCGTCAGGAAGTCATTTGGAAAATACATCTGAGTTGTCTCTTCTAATTCAAATCTGCTAATTCATTTCAGCTGGTAATTAGTGGAAAATGTTTCTCAGTTCTATGAACTGGACTGTATAAAAATCAACGTTCTGTGCAGTTCGCGATAACGTATTCAAAAAACTAGTTAGCATAATCGATTCGTGACGTTCTTTGATCAGAATATCAGTCTTGAATCACTTCACCTCTTTTATAAAATTATCATCTTCATCATTCTGGTAGGATGAGTTTGAGTTCGTTTGAAGGCTCCAATTTCAGAACAAACTCGAAGATGTGTTTCAGCTAATACAGGTACTTTCACTCATCAGTCACGGAGATAAGCTAGTTTGAAGGAAATAGAGCAAGACCTATTTGGTACACGAGTGTATTGGTACAAAAAGGCTCCATTTTCCTCAGTATATTTTGATCATCTCCTAAGATTGTTCATGAAATGCAGTCGTATGACTTTTTTTCGTTTCCATTTTTTCATGCAATAGCCATTGTATACCGAAACTTGTGTTACGTTTTTGGAAAACTGTTTAGTGAAAATTTCACAATGCAGTTTGATAGTTCTTACTAGAACATCTGGCATGAAATGAATCTATTGAAAACACTTTCACAACACCAGAACAAAAATCACGGGCTTTCGACGTCCGTTTCACTAACCAAGTTAGCATCCTCAGGAGATCATCATGGTCTCCTGAGAGACCATATTTCAGTTCTGGTGTTGGGAAAGTATTTTCAATAGATTCATAATAAAGAATTTTTTGAAATTGCCGTTTGAGTTCAACCATATCTTTTCGCCTCTCTGGGACATATCACATCATGACTGGATGTGGTCAGTGCTCTTGTTTTGAAAGAGGAAGATCTTTTATTGGAAATATCCTGGAAACTTTTTTTGCCAAGTGACGGTCATATTTCATATGGAGATGTCAGGATCTTGACCAAATGCCTGTAGACATTATTATCATCAGCTTCTTTCGAAATTCTTCTATAGTATGGCCTTCCCCTTTATACGTACCGTGATAGGAGTATAGATCTCAAGACCGTGCCTTGAGGTGCCCCATAAGTGATTGCTCTACTAGAGCTATACCTATCGTCTATTTTCACTATTTGAACTTTGGTGTTCAAATGAGTTTCAGAGGAATTCAAAGCACTCCCCTCACTTCGTTATCCTCCAACAGTTGTGAATGACTCACTGTGTCGATCACCTATGCGAGTTCCAGGAATACATAGAGAGCCGGCTTCGAATCGTTCAAAGATCTGTGTATAGCTTTCGTTAACGGAGCTATTGCATCATTCGTAGACAATTCTCGAAATTCCAATTGACGATTCGATAATATTTCATATTTTTTAATGAAATTCAGCAGCTAATATTTTTGAAAGTGTGGATATCAAGGAAATTGTCCGGTAGTTAGTGACTTTTTTGTAAATGATAATAATAATAATGATAATATTCATTTATGCAACAGTATCCTTATTGAAATCGGCCTCAAACGTTGGACATGTGCATAATATATAATAAAACCAAAAGTAATCCGTTATTTATTTAACAGTATCGTTGTTGAAATCTTCCTAAAATGTTACACATGTACAGGGTCATAAGTTATCATCCATATATTCTTTGAGAGAATAACATGATTTATCCAAAAGCAACTCTATGGTTTGGTAGTTTGGCACTTCCAACTGTAGGGAATTTCTAGTATTATAATTCTTATTACCATTAGGAGTAGGAAAACTGGTTATATGCGATTTTCCATATTTCAATATCTCATAAATTAATAAATAATAATATTTATTATTATTATTTTTTTCCCGTAGTGTGCGCTGGTCAGGCCCTGTCCCCCGAAGCCTCGATACATTCGGGAGGGCGCGCCAGCATTATCAACCAATGACCACTCCCCACACAGTGGGATGTGATCATTGGGTCCGAGGATAATGTGCCCTGAGCAAGCGCAGTGAGCCAAGAATGACAGCCTACTGCATCTGTGTGGCTGAGATTTCTGCCTTAGTGCGGCAAGCCGGTATGATTTTAAGATTCGAGAGTAGGGAGGACACCATTCCACCAAGGACACCAATAATCAGAACAACTATCTTGACAGAGTGGCCTGGATAGAGTCTGCGGAGTTCGAAGAGAAAATCTCAATATTTTATTCGTTTTTCCCCCTCTCTTCTGACGATATTCGTCTCGCCAGGAGATTATATTTCAGAACCACTCCATCATAGACCGCCCCTGAGGCGGAAATCGACCACTAGTTTTTACTCGATTGAAAGAAATATTCCATATCAATATACTCAACCCATTGATTCATTATGCTTTTTAGTGCGGTACCGGAAAATTACTGATGAGTTGTGCAAAATGAAAAAGAAAATTAGGAAATTGAAAAAGCAAATGAAGAACATTTCTAGTGAGTAATGAAAGGGTTATGATCATGCTTTCATTATTTTCAGTAGGAGTGGCGACAAGGATCTTATTCATGAAAGACAGGCTCACTTGTACACGTAGCTGAATTGGCTTTGTGTACTTAACTGCTCAATATTCTTGGTAGTTGATATTATGCCTGCTATTTTGGCTTGTGTGTTTAACTGCTCAATATTTTTGACAGTTAATATTATGCTTTACGGATATCCATGTGTCAAGTATTATATTTAGAATCTTGGCAAAATAAATCATATTTTCTGATGTTTTTTTCTCTCTATTCACAGTTGATTCATTCAGGAAAATTTTTAGGTGAGTCAGAACCTGAAAGTAATACATCGCGAAGCAGTGATAATTTTTGAGATCATAATATACAAAGGGGTCATGAAAACCTCAATTCGACGGATGATGACTCAGATGCAAATGAAGACGCACCTGTGAGAATAATAACAGAGGCGCAGGTAAAGGATGTCCCAACTACACAAAGTGATTCTCTGTCTATAGTCAATTTGTTAGGTGTTGATACCTCTTCAGATACGGTTACGGAAGAACCTATAAACGGGGATTTTGTAACAAGATGGTCTGTTTATCTGAGCAAAGGTCTCGATAAAGGAATTCGAGATTCCCTATCTAACAAATGGAAAATTCCTGAAAATTGTCAACTCAGTGCACCAAAACTGAATAATGAGCTGCAAGGAGTATGTTCGGGGATACAATTGAAGAGAATTGCATTTTTATCGGCCGTGCAAGATAAAATGGGTAAAGGTCTTGGTGCAATTGGACAAGTTTTAGATTGTTTATTGACTGATGCCAATCATAAAGACATTAACCCTTGGCTAGGCGCTCTGGCGTACACAGTACGCCAGTGACTTAAAATTACTTGTAATTTAGCAACATCGTGACATATGAAAATAACCTTTCACCTAACCATTTGCCTGTCATTTTTTGCTTGTCATTAGTTGACTATTTCATGCTGAGTGAGCTACATGTGTTGGTCAGTATAATTTTTGAGATTTTGTTGAACTGTGTCGAAAGTGGAGTACTGCGTACGCCGTACGCCTAAAGATGTAAGTAATTTTATCTTTAGGTATTTCATCTATTTTTGTGTATGAATCCACGTTTTTGGTTATAATTGTGACTGTAGCTTTGTGTAGTAAACAGAAACTGAAGTAGACGTCATTTATAGGTCCAGCAAAACAGTGAATATTGCTCAAATGAGAAGTGAAGAGATTTATAGACTTCTAGAGGAAACCGATGATAACTTACAAATTCAAGGTGAATCTTCTGGATCTGAAGCAGAGAAAATAGAAGAGAATGAGGACTGTGATGGCATCAGTGCTTTCTTCAAAATAATCGACATTATATTAATAAGACGAATTTGTGCGAAATATTCGGGAGAAACGGTTCAGGTATTGAAATATGTAGAGCTGTTATGTCTATAAAAAAAATAATTTTTAACTCACAGCCATTAGATTCGACGACCAAGCTACCAGAGGAATTAGGAAAAAATCATATAGACTAGCAGCAGTTCGAACATTTTTTGATAAATTCATAAAAAATTGCAAGCAATTGTATTCACTTGGAGAATTTATGACGATTGATGAAAAGTTAGAAGCATATCGAGGTGGATGCTCTTTTATACAATACATACCCAATAAACCGGCAAAGTATGGCATCAAAATATATGCTTTGGTGGACTCTAAAACCTTCTACACGTATAATCCTGAAATATATTGTGGTAAGCAGCCTGCTGGGCCATTCCAAGTTAGTAATTCGCCATCTGATGTAGTTCTTCGATTGGTAGATGGTTTAGAGCGTTCCAATAGGAACTCAACTTGTGATAACTGGTATTCCAGTTGTGAATTGAGAAAATTCCTATTGGAAAAGAGCATCACGTTTATTGGAATTCTAAAAAAGAATAAAAGGGAAGTTCCCGTGGAATTTTTACCGAATAAGTCGAGAGCTATTGGAACTTGTTTATTTGGATTTCAAGAAGATCTTACACTAGTTTCCTATATTCCCAAACAGAACACAGCCATTTTTCTTATCTCTACGATGCACGATAATGACTCAGTTGATGTGGAAACGGGAAAACCCGAAATAATTCTTGACTATAACCGCATCAAGGGAGGTGTTGATACTGTTGACCAGAAATGTAATGCATTTTCAGTATTTCGAAGAACAAAACGATGGCCATTTGCCACATTTATGGCATTCCTCAATGTAGCAGAAATAAATGCATACATTTTATATACATATGGAAAACTCAACATTGACATGGGTCATCAACGACAATCTTTTCCAAAACATTTATTAGTGGCTCTTATGAAACCTCATATGCAAGAAAGACTCCTAATAAAATCATTACCCCTGCATACCTGGTACATTTTCGAAAACGTGTTAGGAAAGCCACCAACCAGAAGAGAGGCTGATACTTCACTGAGTCATAGAGGGGGGTATTATCTTTGTGGACGCTCAAAAAATAATTATACAACTGTGAAATGTTCAAATTGTAGCCAGTTTTCTTGTAAAAATCATAGCAGATCATTTGTTAAATGTGATTCTTGTATTAACTCTGATCGAGTCAGTGAGTCTGATTAGTAGTTGAAATATTCCACCCATTATGCAAAAACTTTTTTCATCAATCAGAATGTTAGTTTTGCCCCTCTATAATGAATATATATGGTTTATTTTGAGGTTGATGTTTCATTTGCTGAAAATTCCACATGGCGTACTCCATACGCCGCGCGCCAGATTGTGTAAAAATTTAGGCTCGCCTAGCCAAGGGTTAAGGAAAAAATCATAGCAACATTGGCAGACTCTGCCAAATTATTGTGCGAGAGTCATTTTTTAATTTCGAAACACCGGAAACATGAGATTTTTCCGATGATGAATGAACAAGTGAAAAAGATTGTTGAAGAATCTCTGTCTGGTCAGTTCCTTTTTGGGTTTGGGTTTGTAGAAAAGTGCAAAACGGCACAAGCTGCTAAAAATGCTTGTGAAGAATATAGGAAACATTATTCTGTTCAATCGTCAACTCCTTTAAACTTCAAGCGACCTTTTCAGAAGCACAGAAAAAAGAATTACCAAAAAGTGGACTACAGGATCCGAAACGAGGACTCTGGGTATCAAAGAAAAATGATCACCAGGAAATGAATCAGGTATCTACCGACTATACTGGTCGACTTAAGTTGTTTTTGATTGATGGGCAAAATATTTGTTCTGATATTAACACACTGCACTGTATTCAGGGTTATAGTTTACCTTTTGTAACAAAACCTCATCAATTGTTGAATGAAATTTAGAATGATTCTAACAGGGCACATAGAAATCTGAAAGAGAGTATTTGTAATTTAGAGTCGATAGGCGCAATTCGAAAGTGCAATCCAAGCAAACGTCAGTTTGTTTCATCATATTTCTCAGTGCCTAAATCCAGTGGTGGTTACCGATTCGTTTTGAATTTGAAAGAATTGAACAAATTCATTATATAACCTCACTTTAAACAAGAAAATATTGAACCTGTTCGAAATTTGCTTATTTCAAATAGTTTTATGTGTACGGTTGATCACAAAGACGCGTATTTTTTTATTCCGATCAAAGAATGCCATCGTAAATATTCGAGATTTTATTTTGAAAATGTGCTTCATCAATTCACTTCATTGCCAAACGGCTTAAGTTCGAGTCCTTTTATATTTACGTAGTCTGTTACCTGGATGATTTATTAATTATCGGAAAATCCGTTGTGGAATGTGCCAAAAATACAAATATTGTTTTTCGTTTTTTAGAACAATTCGGATTTATTATAAATTTTACTGAAAGTATTTTGGAGCCTGAACAGAAATAAAAATTTTTGGGTAATAAAAATGAATCATGAGTTTTAGAGTCGAAAACAACAAAATTTACATCAGTTAGAGCTTTCAGCTGCATTGATTGCTTCAAAATCATTCACACAATTGAAAAATAATTGAAACATATTGTTGAGGATAAATAATGCAACGGCAATTAGCTATATCAACAGAATGGGTTGCGTGAAATGAATTACCTTACATGAAATTACACGAGAAATTTGGCTATGGTGTGAATCTAAAAATCTTTTGGCTTTTGCTTTCTATATTCATTCTAGAGCAAATATTTATGCTGTTGTGGAATCACGAAGTCTCTCTGTCGAAACAGAATATTCTGAATAACAGAGTCTTTGGTGAAATGAAACAAGTTTTAGGAACACCATGTATGGATCTTTTTGCATCACAGCTTAATGCCAAATGCAAGAATTATGTATTGTAATGAATCTGAAGCCGGCCCTGACCGGTTCCCAGTATGACGCATACCGCGAAAATTCCGGATGAAGATAAATTAAGCGTTAGTTACTGCGTGGTGTAAATAAATTAGTTGTGATAGTGAAGTATTGTTAAAATAAATTTGTTTAAGACAGTCAATTCTTTAATTCGTTACAGTATATTGGAAAAGAGAGATGCATTAACCATATGATGGTCAAATTAATTTTCTATGCATTTCCGCCATTTTCAATTATTCTGAAGGTACTTCACAAAATAATTACTGATAGAGCTGTAGGAATTTTGATAGTACCAGATTAGTGCACGCAGCCATGGTATCCTATTTTTATAAAGATCATGTGTTCTCAACCAATTCATTTTGAACCAAAATCAAACGTAATGCTGAACCCTTTCAGACAACCGCATCCAATATGAACGAAGATTACCCTTGTTGCTGCGCGCTTATCAGGGAAACATAGGTATATAAGAAGCAGAATTCCTGAATGTGGTATTCCAACCCTACTTGAATCATCAAGTCCTAATATTGAAAAACAATATAATAGCTCGTTGAAGCAGTGGTGGGTATTTCCTAACCTGCATAAAGTGAATGTTTTCGTACCTAGAATGTCAGATATAACTCAGTTCCTGCAAAAGAAATTTTGACTGTGGAGCAAATTATAATACATTAAATTTCCACAGATCAGCATTAAAATTAGTAATCGTATCGCTCGATTGAAAACATGTGATTGAACGTTTTGTCAAAGGAGTTTTCAAGTTGAGACCGGTTTTCCCAAAATATTCCATGACTTGGGATCCTTCCCAGGTTCTTGAATATTTGAAAACACTTTATCCATATCGCATCTTACCACTGGATGGAATAACGTTCAAGTTGACAACTGTCTTGGCATTGGCATCGGCTGAGAAGATACAGAGTATTGTTAGCATAAAAATATCTGATATAAGGGACATGTCTTCAAATATTCAAATTGATATTTCAGAAATTATTAAAACTTTTGCGTCCGGCAGGCAACAGCCGGTAATAATTTTACCATATTTTTATGAAAAGCCAGGGATTTGCGTTGCGAAACGTCTGAATGAATACCTATCAAGATCACAAAAAATAAGAGGTATTGAAAACAAATTATTCATAGCAGAAGACCATATCATGCTGTTTCAAGTCAAAGTATTTCACGATGGTATTGATACTCAAAAATTTTCATCTTATTCCACGCGGCATATCTCCACTTCAGCATCAATACGTAGTGAAACAACTATTGATTTAATCAGAAATACGGCCGGGTGGTCTAAAAAATCTTTCGTGTTTGCCAGATTCTATAATAAACCGTTGTTCAATAGTGAAAATTTTGATGAAACTATTATTTTTAACTTTAAAAATTAGTGGGAATTTAATCTATATGAATTGTTATTGTTGTGATGTTTATTGCTAATGTATTTTTAAAAGCTATATATTCATTATTACCGATATGATATAAATTTTTTGATGATAAGTTTATGAACGTGAAACTACGAATTATTTAATCATAATGATTAATTAAAGATCATTATTCAGATCGCTAATATGCTTTAAACATCTACAAGGTGGTCTATCATAGAGTGGTTCAGAAATGTAATATAAGATGAAACGACTTACCTGTAAGGAAGTTCAATCTTGATTATATGAAGAATCACTACATCATAGACCAACCCAACTCTCCCTCATTTTCAGCTCAACCTTACGCGATCTGAAATAGGTGCACCAAAAATCATAATGAATCGATGGGCTGAGTATACTGATATGGAATATTTCTTTCATTCGGGTAAAATCTAGTGGTCGGTTTCCGCGTCAGAGGCGTAACTACAAGGTGGTCTATGATGTAGTGGTTCTTGATATAATCAAGATTGAACTTCCTTATAGATAAGTCGTTTAATCTAGAGCTAGATATTTTTCTTTGTGCTTCATCTAGGTTTGTTTTCATAGTTCTGTTATAATGGTGTTTTCATTTGAAATCAGTACATTAGGCTCCTCTTAATTTTTTTCCACTGAAAGGTAAAGTTTTTGTTCTCTTTGTAATTTTGCTATGAAAGCAAATTTTAATTTCTGGCTGAGTTTCTTTTTGGTAGTACAAAACGTCAGGTTGATTTCAATATTCTAACTTAGTGCTTGTGAAAAAAATTGTTATACAAATTTTATGTACCCCTTTAAGGGATGCTCCAATTAAATTTCTTTATATGAAAGATCCTATCTTTTTTTCGATGAGGAATCACCTCCTTAAATGTTTTACACTCATTTAGTTATACCCTGTATATCATATTAGACAATTGAAGTCCGACCTAATGAACTGCACGAAATGTTAATCATACCGCAGATTTGAATTTATATCGTTTTTGAGATTGTGAAGAATGCGAATGAATTCCAGAGTTTAATGACTATATCAACCCATTAACTTTCAAATGAACGGCATATAATCATTAAAGTCAAGAATGTTTCCAGCAAAACAATTCATGATTAATATCTTTCATTATTATTTTTCGATTTCACGTATTCAATTTCGAAAAAAGAGACAGGACTGCAAAGTTTCTAAAGTAATAACTGATTCGTCTTTCCGGAACAATGAGCTTTCTTCTAAGAAATTATAACTCAACCAGTGAAAGAGGTCTTTTCCACGCTCCAGAGCTTTCATCGTGATTAGTTTCCCATTGAATTATATAGTTGGTGAATTGGGAGATGAAATCTGCGGAATTCGACCTTCAATGGTAGAATGAAATGAAAACATTTCCTTCACATATTGCCTTCGAACAATAGTGTCTATCTCTTGACATCATTGTAGTTTCTTGAGCCTTCAAATAATTTGTGCCGCTATTTATCTCCAAAAATCATTCACTTAACGATTCTACGTTGAAATATAGTTTGACATTGGTAATTGGTTCTGCATAATTGGTCTTGTTCATAAGTAGAATTCGTGTCAAGTAGACATTGAGCTCCTATAGTTATTAGTGATAGGTCATTGGATTGAGAATGGAATGACGTGTAGACAAATGGTATTTCAAGATTCTGCAGCGCATTAAAAATTGCAATTATTATTGACAATTCATCATGAAGGAAAAACGGCATCATATTTTGGTAACACTTCAAAAACTTCCAGTACTCGAAATATAAAATGAAAGATTCTGAAAAGAGAGAGAATTCACAATGAGAAAGTCTCAACTCTCGGGATTCTACCTTCACATTTCTCCAAAAAACCCTGCTCAATTATTAGCATAACTTGAAATGGTACATCATGAAACACCGCTTTTATCTGAATTTAATTTCCATAAGAATTATTGGAATGAGGACTCAATATATTTCATTACCACTCGCC